GTCCACCAACGCAGGTGTGAGCCGCGTCTGCGCATGCGCGGGGCGCGCTGCCTCCGCCCAGCTCGGCTCGGGCTGCAGAAGCCCCTCCACCCACTAGGAGGTCCGCAGGTGTAGCGGAGCGTGTTTCTAAATTTCGTTTTCGTTTTAAATTCCATTGTGAAAAAGAGGAGATGCCGCTTCGTTTTATACCTCTCAAGAAATGAGAGTTTAGTACAATTCCAAAGATATATTCAATTCCTCATAGAATAAGGAGCAAGGACCAATAAACGGTCGGAGATATTTATGATCTACATTTTGAAGCACATTTATTGAAAGGGGTAATACTGTGAGCTCTGTGTTTTCGAATATGATCACGGGCAGATGACGAAAATTTAACCTGAATTTTACTTTTGTGGCCGTTGACGTAGAGGCACATCTGCTAAACAGAAACGGCCTTCCTAAGCTGGTGGCACCGGCCCCATTTCCTCCCAGCTGGGAACTGTGAGCTGGCTTCTGCAGGTATGCTGCTCTCGTTTTTGATCAGTTTATTCCAGGAGGTCAGTGGCATGCTGCAGCGGTGACTCTAGGGCGTGAGCCGCTGGCACTGCCCCATAACACCTATCCTGTGCACGCAAGGCTTTCACACTTGACCGGAAAAAACCCCCAGGGAAAGTGCCGAGTGCAACTATTCTAATTATAGTGGGAGCTGTGAATGAGCTTTTGAGAGTAAAAGTGGGCATTAAAATTACGTATATACTTGGCCAGTTAGCCACATCTTGAATGGAACCTACCCAAAAGAGAGAACTGGAAAAAAAGTCAGTGAGGAGGACACGGGTATCGCAATTTCTGTGGGGCCAAAGAACGGTCACGTGCGGCAGTGATCCCGGTACGTGAGGACGCGTGCTGACCGTCTGGCTCAGACACGCCTGGAGGAGGCAAGTCCGGCGTACCTGCAGAAATCCTCTCTTGCACAAAAAACGCTTTTATCGTTAATTTATAATGCTGTTTAGTGTGCTTTTTCCCTCTGCACATGCTAATCTGGGGTTAAAGTCATCACTGCCTGAATTTCGAATGTAGTTTTCATGACAGTTTCATATTTATTCATGTTTACAGGGAGACAATGGTATGAAAGGATTAAATTATCCTATATTAGAAAATAATTTCCTGACTGCAAGACTTTCGTATGTTTTAGGAAGATACAAAAAGATTTTTGTATAATGTATGCCTGTGTCAGATCAGGACTCCATGTGAAATATCAAGTTTTAGGTCAAAAAAAGAAACAATGTAAGTCTTTGCATGCTGACTTCTGTAGCTCACTATTTTTACTAGTTACCCTCCTTCTGCAGACAGTGTTTACATCTGCACTGGTGTAAATAGCTCTGGGTAAACTAGAGAAAACTGTTAGGACAGGAAATTAAGAGCTTTCGTGTCTGGTGGTGGGCAAAGAAGTTGTGTGTGTGCACGTGTGTGCGTGTGTGTGCGTGTGTGTGCGTGTGTGTGTTTTAAAGGACAGCGCGTTCTCTGCATGGAACATTTTCTGCACTTTATTCAAATACAGCAGCAGCAGCTCTCTATCCAGACAGCGATGCCTCGTGTGCTTTGTGGAACTTGACGTGGCCACTGCGACGCCAGGCCAGCTTCTGTGCTGCGAGCTGGCCAGCCGCACACACAGGGGCACCTCCTGGTGGCCTCCGGGCCCGCACGGACGAGGATGACCCCCTGCTCCGCGCTGCGCCCTCTCTCCTCTGACTCCTATGCACGCAGATGGCATTAAACAACGCTGCTGTTTTCTGAGGCACTGGAAACGCGCCTTGCGTGCCACGTCCACCTGTGTCATCCCTTCCCCACCTCCCCCAGGCTGCTGGTGTGACAGCAGCGAGAGGCCGCCCTAGAGTGAAACAATCTGCGAAACCCCACGTTTTCGGGGTGCGAATGCAAAGCGCCTCATTTTACAGTTAGATGGGATAGCCTTCCTGCCCCCACGCCGTTAAGTCAGAGTTCAGGTTGTTCGCCCTGTGGCGGGTTTTGACCCTGGTGGTGACCGTGTCCCAGCGTGAAGCTCCCGGGACGAGGAGTTCCAGAAGAACCAGCACCGGACTCGGGGCGCCCCCGTGTCGGGCGAGCCTGGCGGTGGCTGAGCTTGTCGCTTTCCCGTGACTGGGTCAGAAGCACCTT